GCTGATGTGACCAGCTTCATATTCTTACAAAAATAAGATGGCCCTAAAAGGCAATATACTTGTAGTGTGTGTGTACTCAACATTAGGGAGACCAACAGGAAAGCTGTGGGAGAAGTGATGAGGTTGTCATTAATGGCAGGAGTGGAGATACGGAAAGGAGGGAATTGGATTTGAGCTTTTAAAAATTAAAGAATATACAGATGTTCTCACTTATTTCTCTTCCCCATCAAAAATACCGAGATCTAAAAGTTTGTGTTTAGAAAATGGACTGAGTTCTCATCATCTTTAGATTGCTGATCTGGAAAGAACTTGCTCTTAATTGTTGCGTGTAGCCATATTTAGGATAATGATGATGTCTTTTAGTTACAAATCCATCGAACTTTAGATGGAAGTGGAATTTATGTCTAGACTATGCTAATAATGTAGCTAAGACTTTTCAGTGTAGAATTTACACAGTCATATCATTTCAGGAAGCAAAACTAATATTACTCAAAATGATGAACACTGTTTTATGAATGACTTCTTTTATTCCATTCTTGATCATTCTAAATAATTTCTTAGAAATTTCTGATTGAGTTCTGCAGGCAGGAAGAATGCAGTATTGTCAGTCTTTTTGACAACGTGTTCTCCTAGGCAAATTTCTACCAGTTTGATGCCACCCTGCATCTTGTCTTTTCCTCATATCTTGAGCTGGAAGGGAAGCTGTTGGCAGTGTTCCAATCTGTCATGTGGTAGGTGGAGTTTCTTGGATTGTCTCTAAGAACAGTCTTCCTGTTGTTAACAAGGTCAAAAAAAGTTTAAAATAATATGCATTTAGCTTTTAGTATCTAATCAATCAGAATTTCATTTATATATCTAGATGTATCTTCGTCTAAAATTACAAACTACAAAGGAAAATGATAGTTATCTCTTTGCTTGATAGTGAATAAGGTCTTTTCCTGAACAATGACATCTCTATTTAATGGATGCTGCATACTGTAGTAGAATGAATGAGAAATCTAGGAATTAGTAAATCTTATCTTGTAAATATTTTTGTAATGTGCCCCTTCCGTCTCACCTTGTTGCTTGGGATGATGAAATATCTCCCTACCTCCAATCTGCATTTCTAAATCCACATTCTGCAGCTACCTAAATCTCTTTTACACAAATCCGATACTGTCCCACCCATGTCTCTGCGAGTCTCTTAACTGCTAGTAAGTTCTGCTAAATGCTTGGAGAGTAGCATAATCAGAGTGGCTCCTTCGACATTTAATTTCCATGAAGTCTCACTAGCTTAACAATTTTATACTTACACACACAAGGCGTGTTTAATTTTTGTAATGTATTTTAATGGATTATATCTTCAAATATTATTTTACTTAATTACACATAATAGTATTCAAATACATGAGAAAAGACAGGAATGCTCAGAGTATAATACTGAAAAGATAATATCACACCATGTTGCATTTAATACAAGGTGAGGGCACTGAGGGAAGAAATTTGTCTTAGTTGTCATATTGGGTGCCCCACACCAACCAGAGGGCCTGGCCCATTACAGGCACTCCATATCATGTGTAAGTGAACAAGTGAAATCTGTTTAGTGGAGACAGATGTTTCGGTATGGAGTGCGTGATGTGCACTGGTGCATTTTGGGCAGCTAAGGTAAATGTCTATCAGGTGTTGGCAAAGGGCAATGGTTTTGCTATTTTTGCCATTGTCCTTGTAACCTGTCCTTGTATCGCATTCATTATAGGCATGGATCTTTTCTGATGGCTCATGATACTACTTTAAAAGAAATTTAGGTCAGTAATTTGCGTTAAAATGATTACTTGTGCTAAATTAACCTAGAAGAGAAACAACTGAGAAAGAAATGTAGAAGACTAAAACAGATATTGGAGTTCAGAATTCCCAACTATACTAAGTTAGATTTGTAGGCCTTATGCCATTGTACCAAAAGGAAATAAAATTTTATGTGGGGAAATGAATTACTCTTGCCATATCCCCAACTCCTGTCTTTCTTTCCTTCTGCTACTTTAACTTGGCAAAACACCAAACGCTAAAGCAGTCTTCATCATTTACCTCCTGCATTCCTTGGAGGCAGGGACAGTTGACTGTTGCTGGGATTACTGTAGTGCTCTGTGACAGCTGTGCCTCCAAATCTTGCCACCAGCCTGTCCTTTTACTGTCACCAGAATGATCTGTTTATAACAAATCTAATTGTTAGTCCTCTCCTTGAAATCTATGCACTTCTTATAGTCTTCAGGATTAAAAATCAAAGTTCTTAGTGTGGAAAATCACTTTTAGAGATCTGGCCTCTTATCAGCGTCTTTCCTGATCTTTTAGCTCTTCTCCACAGGTTTTCTGTACTCCAGATATATTAACCACTTCCATTTCTCTGACTGTTCCATGTTGTTTTTATGCCCCTGAACACAGGTTGCTGCCTTTTCCAGGCATGCCTTTTGCTCCTTGCCAATGTCATCAATCACATGTCATTTAAAACTCCCAAAGTTACCTCTAGAAAACTTCTGAGTTTTCTTTGCCATTTTGTATTAGGTAACACTCAATGGCTAATGTTCTCAGTGGTACCTAACCTAATACATGGTTCATGTGCTTTCTTTCTCAGTAGACCTTTTTCAGTACTCGTGAGCTTTTTTGAGTGCTGGATAATCGTATTTTCACTTTAGTTCCTAATCCTTGTTGCTGATTTGCCTTGAACTTTAGTTAATGTGTGCTGGTTAATTTATCAGAAGCCCCACATGTGCCCACCAATGTGTCTTAGGTATTATGAACATTTGAGAAAAGGAAGAATGTGGTTCCAGCCCTCTTTATAAGTTAATGGTATGGACAAAATGATTCATAAAGTGATTAGAGATTAATAAAATACAACATTAAATGAGAACTTAGGTTGAGTGGTTTGAGAATAAAGATATAATTGAAAATTTCAAATCCCTTGACATTTTATATCTGCTCTTTACTCTGTTTTTCTCTGTTAGTAGTAGTAATACCACTATTAACACCCTACACTTTCTACATGTTTATCTTGTTATGCTTACCTGTATTACTAGAATATAAATTTTATGAGGAATTTCCATCTCTGTTGTTCACTGTGGTATTTCCAGGGTCTGACACAAGGTAGATCCTAGTGCAATGGATGGAATGATGTTCAGAGAAGGAAGTAATCACTAGAAGATGGCATTTATGAAATACTTCATGAAGAAGTTACATCCTGAAGTAGACCTTTAAAGTTAATGTTTTATTAGATAAGTATTTATTAAATAATTAAAAATTACCAATTTTATTTTTATGAGTTTGTTCTGGTCATAGGTTCCTCCTAATTTTCCCTTCAAGTTTAATGAGGTTTGTACAGCCCTCATTGTTGACTTCTTTTTGAGAGTTTGACAAAGCCTATTTAGCCAGTGTCAGTTTTGCTGACCCTTTCCTAATATACTTGTTGCAATACCATTTCACTTTATATATTTATTAGAAAAATAAAATGTGTTTGAAAAGTAGGTCTGCTGGAGGCAGTAACACATTTTACACAGGTCATTACACAATAAGTTGTTATGAAACCTGAGAACTTATCTTTTATTTTGCATCCACTTAAAATAACTACAGATGAGTTTGAATTTGTAGGCACGTCAGGGTCCTGGTTGTTTTGTGAATTAGGGATCATAATTGACTATTTGCCTGTAAGTTCTTATGTAGCAAATCCTGATGATACTTTTAAATGTTGTATATACACATATGCATGTGTCTCATAACTTATAATTACATTTTCCATTTCTATAGAATTTCCTTTTCTGTTTCTTTACCTTCCCAGAGTAACAAAATAACAATTGGATTTGGAATTAAAACTATTAAAAATGTTAAATCACCAAAACAGGCTGTAAGTGGAACATAGTCATAATACTGATTTGCATTGTAACATTATTAGTTGGTCTCTAGCATTGGCTTATTTTCTTGCATTTTTCCTTTAAGCACAGAATTAGATATTCTTAGGTTATTATACCTGAAATAAGTTCTTAATAAGGAAGCATCTAGTCTACTCACTTTATTTTAGATGCTAACCTTCTAGTATGCTAGTAATCACTTTAAATTTCAAGGTTTTACTACTTCTGGAATATATATAATTCTAAAGATATTTTAAAAGGATATTATTTTAGTGAACAGGTAGAAGCAAGTGGCTGAAATTTGTCAGTCCACCACCAGTCAGCCAGATTGGATGTGAATGAAGTTTTGGCAGTACTTTTCCATTTTGGTTTACTGGTTTAGTACATAAGAGGTGATTTTTATCAATCTGATTTAAAGCCATGAAAAACCACACTGTCTCTCTAAATTGATAGTTTTTGACAACATGAATGTGAGGATTCACATATTTCACATAGGAAGCGTTTTAACCAATAAATTTATATTAAGGGAGCCATCAGGAATAAGATTTTTAAAACGTCAGTCTTTTTTGTGCCTTTTTCTTGTTGAATCTGGAAGTTGTACATTTAAAAAAGTCATGGGTTAACTCTTGGATTCTCTTAAATGGAAAAACGAAAAAAAGTCTTTAAGGATCATATAAATATTCTACATTTCCTTTTCTTGTATTGTTTGTGATATTTTCCTAGAACTTACATTTTATTTAAACTGTTTTATACAAAAAATAGCATCTTGTAATCTGATTTTTTTAAGGAGTAGTTCATCTTTTTTGTTGGGAATAATTGGTAAATATAATGGTTTGCATAAGAATAAAATTATTAAAGATGTGGAAGAATGTAGACAACCTTCAGTTACTACTGGTATAATTCCTGGTTGTAGTTGCCTAATATCAATTAAGTTGAATTATTTATTTTTTGTCATTTGTGTTCACATATTATACTTTTGATTTGAAGAATACTCTGCCAGACTTTTAAAAGCCTCTTACTTTGACTTAATTTTGAATCTAATTTGTTGGGTTTTTAAAAAATTATACCTTCTAATTACTGCCTGTGTTTGGTATGTCAGGTTAGTAATTGTTTTTTGTTCTATTTCAGATCCCTGCATGTCACTGAGTCCACCATGCTTTACAGAAGAAGATAGATTTAGTCTGGAAGCTCTTCAAACAATACATAAACAGATGGATGATGACAAAGATGGTGGAATTGAAGTAGATGAAAGTGATGAAGTAGGTGGAAAATTTTCTCTTGTATTCTTGTAACATACAACAAAGTTTTAGTATTAAATTTTCCCATTATTTGTTATATGACTTAACTCCTTCAACACCTTTTGTTTTTCTCTGTACATTTCAATTTTTCCCTTCGTATTTACGTGTTTTTTTCCCTTCATGTGTATATCGAGTTTACCCAGTTTTATAAGAATCCTTAGTCTCATGTTCTTGGATTTCTCAACATGTATTTTTTTCTGACTCTATTCCCACAAAGTTAATGGCTTAAAATATAACACTTTATTATTTCTTCTGATTTTCTTGGTTGACTGCTTAGCTGACACCTTTTCTGTATCCCTGAATTGGGGCTGAGGTCCCTGTGGCAGTTCCAGTCAGTTGGGAGCTCTGCTGGGGCTGGAATATTTAAGATGCCCTTTTATCCTTCAGAGTCTCTCTCCATCTCTCTCCATGTGATAGAAATTTTTAAAACATGCAATACCTGACTAGTCAGGAGCACTGATCTCTTTTTCTTTAGATTGGTTAAAAAAACCTGACAACAGCCAACACAGCAATAGCTATTTGGTATGAGTTAATCAAAATTATTTTTATTGTCAGGTCAGCAAAAAATACATTTTTTGATATGCCACAGAATTTTAGTAATTAGTTTGTTTGTGCCATGGGATGAAAATGGTTGAAAATTGCTGATCTAGGTATTTATTATCTTGTGTCTAGATTATCACCTCTAAATTTTCCCCATCTAATCCATTTGAATATCACTTTGAGAATATTTTTCTCTGGCTGGAAAACTTAATAGTGATTTCTTAGTGCTTATTAGATCAGATATTAACTTTCATTTTATATTTAATGTCTCTGACTGACTTGTGCTTTTTGAGATTCTCTCTTCTCATTGTGGTTAAATCATTTTAGTATTTAGAGCCCAGTGACATTATTGTTGGAATCACGGCTTCTGGTTATAAATAGTCCAATTTATTTCATTCATTTGTAGAACCACAGATGATAGGATAATCCTATTTTATGCTGTGTTTTCAATACTTAAAAAGTATTTGAAGTATTTAAATATACTTTGTCATCAGGTAGAATGAAATGAATTGATGGGTTATTGAGTTTCACTATTACTGGAAACCAACAAAAAGTACTTGTCATTTGTTGGTCATTTTATTATATTTAGTAATTCATTCATTTTTTAAATATATTTTATTGATCATGCCATTACGGTTGTCCCATTTCCCCCCCTTCATTCCCCTTAACCTTGCACACCTCCTACCCCCCACATTCCCCCACTTTAGTTCATGTCCATGTGTCATAAGTTCTTTAGCTTCTACATTTCCCACACTACTCTTGCCCTCCCACTGTCTATTTTCTCCCTACTGTCTATGCTACTTATTCTCTGTACCTTCTCCCCCACCTCCTCCTACCACTCTCATGTTGCTAACCTTCCATGTGATCTCCATTTCTGTGGGTCCGCTCCTGTTTTAGGAGTCCACTTAGTTTGCTTTTAATGTAGGTGTGGTTGTTAATAACTGTGAGTTTGCTGTCCATTCACTGTTCATATTCTTTATCTTTTTCTTAGATAAGTCCCTTTAACATTTCATGTAGTAAGGTCTTGGTGATGATGAAGTCCTTTAACTTGACTTTATTGTAGAAACACTTTATCTGCCCTTCCATTCTAAATGACAGCTTTGCTGGATAGAGCAATCTTAGATGTAGGTCCTTGCCTTTAATGACTTGGAATACCTCTTTCCAGTCCCTTCTTGCCTGTAAGGTCTCTTTTGAGAAATCCGCTGAAAGTCTAATGGGAACTCCTTTATAGGTGGCTGTCCCTTTATCTCTTACTGCATCTAGAATTCTCTCCTTCATTTTAATCTTGGGTAATGTAATTATAGTGTGCCTTGCTGTGTTCCTCCCTGGGTCCACCTTCTTTGGGACTCTCTGAGCTTCCTGCACTTCCTGGAAGTCTATTGCCTTTGCCAGATTGGGGAAGTTCTCTTTTGTTATTTGTTCAAATAAGTTTTCCATTTGTTGCTCTTCCTCTTTCCCTTCTGGTACCCCTATAATTCAGATGTTGGAATGTTTAAAGATGTCCTGGAGGTTCCTAAGCCTCTCCTCATTTTTTTAAATTCTTGTTTCTTTATTTTTTTTCTGTTTGGTTGTTTCTTTCTTCCTTCTGGTCCACTCCATTGATTAGAGTCCCACTTTCCTTCTCATCACTATTGGTTCCTTGTGCATTTTTCTTCATGTCACTTAGTGTAGCCTTCATTTTTTCATCTAATTTGCGACTAAAGTCAACCAATTCTGTGAGCATCCTGATCACCAGTGTTTTGCACTTTGTATCTGATAGGTTGGCTATCTCTTGGTCGCTTAAAAGTATTGGATCTGGGGCTTTGATTTGTTCTTCTGATTGAGCCATTTTTGGTCAGGTTGTGCTTGTTATGTATGAGGGGTGGAGCCTTAGGTGTTCACCAGGGCGGGACAACACCTCGCTGGTGTATGTGAGGGCGGTGTCAGAGAGGGAGCTATGGCACTTGTTCCCTGCTCTCTTGGATTTCAGTCCCCTCTGCCACTTTCCACACAGGCACCTTTTCAGTCGGTGCTTTTAGGCTTTATTTCCAGTTGCTGGGGCCCTGGGTTGCATGGTTTGTCTTGCTTCCCGTTTTTGCTTAGGTGTTCACCAGGGTGGGGCAACCCAGTCGCTGGGTTGTAGGGGCAGGGTCAGAGAGGGAGCAATGGTGTTTTCTGCGCTCTCTCTTGGATTTTGGTCCCCTCTGCTGCTTTCCACAAGCAAATTGAACCCTTCTGGTGTGGCTTCTTGGGTGGGTGGTCTTGTGTACTTCTAGGACCCTGTGGATCTCTCCAACAAACTCTCCTGTGAGACCGGGAGTCTTCTCCCGGCACCTCAACCCTCTGCCGCTTCCCACAAACTAGCACCTTTTCAATCAGTGCTTTTAGTCTTTATTTCCCATTGCTGGGGCCCTGGGTTGTGTGGTTTGTCTCACTGCCCATTTTTTGCCTGGTTTATCTGTGTGCAAATGTGTGTCCTTGGTCAGCCAACAACCTGTGCGCTTTATTAGGTTTGCTGGTTTCCTCCTCCCCGCCCTGGTTGCTGACCACCACCTTTTCCTGCCCCTTTGCAGGCCACAGACTCCGCCCCTCTTACCAGTCTGGATAAATGGTTCATTGTTGTTGGACTTTGGTACAGTTTAGTTTTCTGCCCGTTCTGGTTGTGTTTTTGTTTCTAAATCTTGGTTGTCCTTAAATTTGGTAGTGTGAAGAAGTGCAGTGTTTCTACCTACACCTCCATCTTGGCTGGAAGTCCTCATTCTTTCAGCATCATCAGCATTTCTTTACTTTCTCCCTACACACACACACACACACACACACACACACACACACCCCCAAGCTTTAAGATTACTTTCAGTAATAATACTCTGGATTATTAGTGATGAATTGTTCTTTCTAATAGTCTCAAGATTGTCTAAGTGGTTTATTTTGTTGTCAGTATAATTGTTTAAGAAATAACTATTAAATACACTAACAGATTCTATTAGTCTAAATTATTACAATATCTATAAATTATGGAATAAATATTTACTAGCATATTAAGTACTTTCTATGGACAAAATTATTTTCAAGTCTAAGTAGCTTTTCTTAAAGATATTGTACATTTTCTTAGTCATTTATAGTATAACTGTATTAGTTTTGTAAACAATTCCATGCCAACTTTGAAGTATTTAGTATTTAGTATGTGGATGGTATGTGTAGTTTTATAACTTTGTCCAACAGTAAAGTTGGAGATAACTTTTAACATTCAACTTTGTGGTACCATGCTGAGAGGGCATAGTTTTAAGTTATTAGGCTGGTAGTTCTTCACTTTCCTTTGACATTGGTGTTACTTGAGGACCTAATTATTGCTTACATTGTTTTAATGCTGAGGGATTATTTGGGGGTGGGGAGAAGTGAGACTGGAAGAGCATATATGTTTAATTAAGAGTTTTAGTGTTATAAAGTGTTTGAAAAGATTGGTACACATTTTCACTTTTGAAGATGGAATAGTTGTAGATAGCCACAGTTCAAGAGTTAATAATAATTAACTTACTGAGATTGGTTAATTTTGCGCCTAGAATAAAGCTAGATTATTTAAAAAGTCTACATAATAGAAATTACTTTTGTTATTGATATATGAAGTTATAAATATTACTACTTTGGGATGTTTTCTTACACCAATCAAATTCTCCAACTTCAATTCTCCAACGCCAGTGGGGTGCCCAACAGTTTAGTTTAATTCTGACAGTGTCTATCTGGATTAGTGTCAGATCCCACAGGTTAAAGGGCTTAGTTTCACAAGACTGGCCCCACTCCAGATGCCAGTCAAAAGTCTCTGGCCATGTGTACTTTTGACCAACCTGCTCGTAATTGGGGGTTTCTACAATCCCTTCTCAGATTTGATGTTTTGCTTGAATGGATCACAAAACTCAGGAAAACACTTTACTTACAGTTCCTGTTTTTCTATGAAGGATACAACTCCAGAACAACCAAATAGGAGAGATATTTAGAACAAGATGTGGGAGGAAGGGCATGTCATCTTCTCAGTACTTCCGTGTGCTCACCAACCTGAAAGTGCTATGATCTCAAAGTTCAAGAGTTTATTTTAATAAACCTTAGTTTCCCCAGAGGTCAGGTGGGTGGGACTGAAAGTTCCAGCCTTAATCACTCAGTTCTGAGGACCAGTCCCATCCTGCAGCTATGTTAGGAGACCAACCCTCGGTAGTCTAATTAGCATAAACTAAGGGCAAAAGACACTTCTGTCATGGGTGCAGCTCAGTTAGTTGGAGTGTCACCCAGTAGACCAGTCGGTCGGTCAAAGTAAATAGTATTTGATTCCTGGTCAGATTATAGTAGGAAATATATTTTTTTATGGACATACTGGATTACCTGAAGTATAATATAAAATTAGTTTTACTTGTTTCTTTTTGCTTTTTAATGTAACTTCTAGAAAACTTAAA